TTTCCAAATTCTTTTATTAGTGCGATATAGCACTGGAAAGAGACCATTTTTGCTCACTTTGATTCATACTTAAATAAAAATGTTTCTTAATTTCGATTTTTAGCATTTGCTATCCGTGGAGGTAGAAATATAAGGAACGACACGACACGTGCTCCAAATCTGAGACCGGAAACGAGTCAGCTTTCACCCTTCTCCGACTTCCGACTCCTCTCTCTCTTCATATTCTCTTTTAGGTCCTCTTCCACGCAGTGGCGTAGCTAGGGTGGGGCAAGGGGGGACATCTGTCCCCGGGCGCAGCATACAAGGGGCGCCAAATTGATGCTACGAAATTTTTTAATGAAATTTTTACCACTCTTGGCACACAGAAAGGGGCGCAAATTCTTCAGTTGTCCCCGGGCGCTGGAAACTCTATTTACACCCCTGCTTCCACGCCCTTGTTACAATGGGGTACTGTTGGACGTCGATGATACACTCGATAATATTTTCGATATTTTTAAAATTTGAAATGGTAAAATTGTTTGCTACTAGATGTTCAGAAAGAACTGATGCATCAAAAAAAAAATTAAAAAATTACGCTTTGACAGGTGCGTCATTTTTGTGTATAAAATAGCTTAAAATTTCCCTTCCATTCGCATTGTTTTTGCTTTCTTTTTTGTTAGAATTCATTCAGCATAGGAATTTCTAGGAAATTAAACTTAGATGGATTTAAAAATTCAGAATCGACTATTATGCTCATAAGGGTTATTAAAAACTTATCTGATATCTCAAACAGCAAAAATTTAAAAACGAAGTTTGTTGAAACGCCTGTATATAGTGAACAATTTTTAAGCTATTAAATATACGGGGAATTGGTCCATCCAAAAGTTTGAGTGGCCTCATGGAAGCCAATATATTTATTGTTAGAAATTTAGAAACTAAACTTAATTGTTTTAGCTCTTCATACTAATGAACATATCAACCTTCATACATGAATCATGTAAAAGGACAATCGTGGCTTAGTTTTCGTATCGAATGATGTTTTATGTGAATGCCAAAGAAACGGATAAAGCTTTTTGAATATGTTTTAAATAACCAAAAATTACCACCCATTTCAACTATTAGTATATTATCTTCAGCTGTATCTGAACACTTTATCTTCTTTATCTTGCCATATGTTAGATCAAGTTCCGAGTGAAAACCATGCTGTGCGTTTATTTAGTGCAGTAAGTAAACATTATTATTTAAGGATCTAAAGTATATATTGGTGTAAAGAACTGTCGAAAAAGTAACTACCCTCGGGAAAAAAAAAAAAAAAAAAGACTAAGGGGTGGGGACCTTGTTTTTTCATTTACATACACGTATACGTTCGAGGGCATTTGGGCTAATGTTCCTTTGGGCTTAAAAACAGCCTATCTTTAGGATTAGAAGAAAGTTATTTGCATTATATGGCCTCCGTTGCGATCTATCGTCCTTTTAAAATTCTAGGATAAAATTTAAAAGAATGTTAGTAGTATATAAATCTATTCTATATTTTTGGCTAAATGTATTTCATAATTCTTATCAAGTTTATCATAATATGGGTGAAATATTACGAGGAAAGTATTTAAATGCAGGGGAAAAGATTGTGTCACTTAAACTGTCTCCATAAAATTTAATTTTTTTATTTCTGCTGGAATTCATATGTCATTCTATTCATAGTCATATTTCATTTCTATAATAAATCAGAGCTGTTCACGTTTCTTTGAGTAATTTTGTACGTTTATCTCCATTAAAGACAGAAAATAATTTTAGAAGTTTTATTATTTTATCTAGAAATCAGTCTGTTCAGTTTTTGTTTCTGATTATTTACTAGCTGGAGAATTTTCAAAAACACTATATTACATTTACTGTAATTTTTTTATTACTAAAGTATAAGCTGGAGGATTTTCAAAAATACTATATTACATTTACTGTAATTTTTTATTACTAAAGTATAAGTTATTAATGCTGTATCTGCATATAATTTCTATTTTAATACTGTTACTTAAATGATCCATCCATATTTAAGTATTACAGAGGAGCTAATTGCTTTGAGATTACATCCCCATGCCTAACATTGTTATATGAAGGCATTCATTAATATCTTATTTTATGCTTATTGCAAACTAACAATGCTCCTAAAATTTAATTGTGATAAGCTTAAAATCATTGTTATAGTGTGTCCCGAAATTTTTCTTACTATGTTTAAAACAATACAAAAATGCATACAGTCATACCGGGCCGTTAAAACCGAGCGAAGCGCTGAAAGCTCCTAAAAAGCGAATGGCTTCATTTCGCTGGTAGTTACTCCGTTACTTCTAACCTCCATATTTTCTTCCCGGTAAGGAATAACTTGTATATTTTCAGGGCCAGACTTAGACTTGATCAGGCCCTAAGCTATCTGAGATATGGGGCCCTTTATAAGTCTGTTATACAGGGTGCGGTAGGGAAACTTCCTTATTTAAAACGCGCGCCATCTAGCGACCAGAGAAGGGTGGGGTGGCGCTCATTTAAAAGAGTGGTATCTAAAGTTTTATGTCCCAGCGTGGGCTGCAACTGCAAGAACTCATCGCGAAAAAATACAAAGAATTCAAAACAAGGCCATCGGAATAATTACAAATGCGCCTTGGTTCATACGAAACAGCACTCTTCGCAATGATTTAAAAATTAAACCCACGGATTCTGAAATTCTAAAAGCTTCTCATAACTTTTTTATGAAATGTGACAGTCATCCTAAGAATATCATATAAAAAAAAACTAGGAAATTATGATTTCACAATTGAACAACGTTACAAGAGGCCCCGCACTATTCACCATAATAGTCGGTGGTAATATATATATTTTTGTTTTCTTCTTAGTTAGCCAAGATTTTACTTCATTTTCTTTACCTATAGATTTACTTATCAAATTACAAAGCACTATGGACTTTGTTTCTGCCAAAGCAGGTAGACTTTGTGTGTAAATAGTTTTTACTCTTGTGAAACGTTTCAATGTACTGCAAATTGTGTTTTTCATCATTTTGACTTGCCAATTATTGCTTATCAAAAGAATAATTTTTATGAAATTTTAAAAATGCCTTACAATATATCCTGCAAGAGATGGCGCAACCAGGGCTCCAGTCAACTAAAATGCTTTTGATCACTACTAATAGATGGCGCCACACGAGCACCTCTTTTGTTCAAAGTTTACTTATTTTACGGACGGCGGCACAGGAGCCTCCGTCGCTAGTAATCTCTGAGTTCTAGCACAGCATGTGTACAAGTACTTCCATATTATTGGATACAACTTACTCGATTCTTCAAGCATTTAAAAGTCAAGTATCATATATTGGTAAAGGCCGTTAATGGTCGATTGCCTCCTACTTAAGTGATAAGACATAGACATAGACATAGTTTTATGTCATGTAGGTTTAGTACCGATCATGCAGTGGACGAGAGAGGAGCGCGCGTTCTCCGTGGAGTCGTACTTTTCAACGTACTGCATTTTCATCCATATAAATTGGCAGTGGTGCAAAAACTTAATCCACGCGATTTTCTTTCACGAAAATATACATGCAAAGCCGTTCTTGACAATACGCCTCATGATGCCCTTGTGTTCTTTAGCGATGAGGCTCATTTTCATCTTTCCGGTTGCAGTATGCATTAAGCAAAACATGCGATAATGTAGTGGCACGATTTCCCGAGAATTTCAAGAGCAGCTCCTCCATACAGAACGTGTGACTGTTTGGTGTGCATTGTCCAGAATAGGCATCATTGGACCATGATTTACTGGAGAACAATTCCCTGGATGCCTTATCTCCTTACGAGGCGTCCAGGGTCCTATTTTTTATGATTTATTTATAACCCCAATAATTATAATTATCCGATGCTTGGGAGGGTCAGAATTATACGACTGTGCCACGCATTCTAAATAAAGAAATTCTAGATGGATGTAACTTGATCGCTATCAAACGGAAACTTTTCCGATCACATCAAGTATAGTAAGACCCCGCTTAACGCGGGGGATACGTTCCATCAAAGTAGAGCGTAATGTGAAACAGCGCTAAACGAGGCTATCTTTACATGTAAATATTGGGGTTAGGGAAAGATGGCTAGGAAATTGGTTAGGTACTAAATTTAAAAAGTATGTTTTTTTAATAAAAATAAAACCAAACATTTATTTCTTAAAGCCCAAATTAATACCACATTATTATTTCTTGCAAAAAATAAAAACAAATATAAATAACAAAAAAACAATATTCTTAAAAAAAACAAATAAAATTCTCAGTCATATTTAGTTAGCCTTCCGCGTTTTCAGTGATCTGCCTTTTTGTGACAAAAGCATCTAATATTGTTTGCCTTTTTCTTTTGCGTTGTTCTCTTAAAAGTTCTTCATAAACGGATAGAGCATCTCTAACACCACGCCTTACTTTTGAGCTCCTGTCAAAATTCGGATCATTTTCAATGAATTGATCCATTATTTCAGTTATGGTAGACAAACTCCTTTTTACAAACGCCATCGAAAGTTCTTTTTGCTCTTCTTCTGAATCACTGCTGTCAACATTTTTGTTTTCTTCTTGTTCAGTTAATTCCTTGAGCTCATCATTAGAAAGACTAGCCGCTGCTTCTTCTTGAATTATATTTTCTTCGACATCTTCCACATTTACCCCTTCAAAATATGTCTGTACAATACCGCACCAAACAAGAAATACAAGTACACTCTTTCGGATATGTATTTGAAACCTATCGCTGCATAATATTTCGGGGAATCCCCGTATGCTGCGAGCGATTTCGTGGAATCCCCGGGTTGAAATAAAAGAGCGCTAAACCGAAACAGCGCTAAACGAAACAGCGTTAAGTGGGGTCTTATTGTATATAATTTTATTGTCATAAAACTGAAATAACTTTTAAGTAAAAATAGTTGGAAACTATAAAATGAAGATAACAAGACTTCGTTATGTATGTATATAATTCAGGTATTATTTATTTGAAGCAATTTATTAATTTAACCTTATTATTTTACAGGTCCGGAATCGGACGGTCCTAGCAGTACAAATAATTTGAAGCTGGGCCTGCAGTTGGCATTGAAAGAGCGAGACTCTGCGTTGAGAGAAAACGCTGCCGCCGTCCAACAGCGAGAGTCCGCTTTGCGTCAGTACAGCAAAATGAAGCATGAGAGGGACAGGGCGTTAGCGAATCTAGAATCATTGTCACCCAAGCTGTCCAACAGGTACGTAACTCGAACATTATACTGCTGTCGTCATTGGCTATCTCATTCTGCGGAGAAATTTTAAAAATAGACAGATTTCAGGAAACAGTTTTAAAAATTGTGGTTAATACTGTTTCATTTAAACCTATACGCTCCTTCTTCGACTTATCAGCAATTATTGTGCCGCTCTGTTGGCATGGTTGTGGGAACCGATTGCCGAAACCTTGGTCCGGGTTCGAATCCCTGAAAAGCCATGAGTGTTTGTAAGTGTACATTGCAATTGCGCTTGCAGGCACTTAAAATACTTTCGAGAGTTTGATGCAAGGGGAAAGCAGTTGGGAGATCCTTAGATCCTGGGGATTGTTCCCTGGTGATTCATCTTCAAAACTGGGACGGATTTAGGCAAATTCGCATTGCCTTCTACATTCTGTGGGGTAAAGGCCTGAGCTAACAACAAGCGAAAATTTTTTACTCTTGTTGCGAGAAATGACTTGATCTCAGACTAACTCTCAGACAGTGAGCTAAGTTACAACAGCATGCATGATTGTGGTATAGCCTTTGTTATTCAACATCCTTAAGTGATTGGTGTTCAGATGACCCCGGAACGTTTTTTTGAAAATTGTGAGATCTGATAGTTTGTGTCAATGCACACTGATGGAAAATGAAATCTCAATACCAAAAAGGAGTTGTGCTAGATAAACGAAATTTGAAAGGCATATGCACATCTGAAAGATAACGTCTGTGCAAATTTTGCGCTAGGCAAATTAAGTGTGGCGCTAGTAGTACTACTATGAATATGCAAATCACGTTTTCCTTTAAATACCCCAGTAAACTTCGTGTGCTGGGCGTTGTGAGCGAGATTTAAGACAAGAATGCCTTTACAAAGATGAAGAGGGCAGTATCAGTAGTTTACTAAGGTTGAACGAGACCTTATAATAGGGCTATGAGAAGATGCAGAAAGACTTGTCAGGGAGATAGCCTGTGTATGTGTATGTGTGTTCGTAGCAGTGGTCATGGAAAGTAAACTCCCAAGAAGGACGGGATCCAGCCGAACACCTGCCACCACTCAAAGGGAAGACCGTCATATTCTCGGCATGTCTGTAGCATATCGCACTGTAGACATTCGAGCTTTTATTGGCACGAGAGTTACACAGCAAAATCTAACAAATCGATTATGTGAAGGAGAATTCGGAGCCAAACACTCTGTAGTGGCCAACCACTAACATCCAAATCACTGCCATCTGCATCTTCGGTGGTGTCAAGCTAGAGCTAATTGGAGGATAGATTAGAGATCTGCTATGTTCTCAGATAAAAACCATTTCTTTTTTTGGTGCCAGTGATGGCCGTATGTTAGCTAGAAGGAGGCCAGTTGAACGCTTGGAACTAAGCTGGCTGCGACGTAGACACGTTGGACGAACATCAGGAGTAATGGTCTGGGGAAAGTTTTCTGTGACAGCAAGAGCACTCTCGTCGTTATTCCATACACTTTGATAGCAAATTTGTACATCACACTGGTGTGATTGCGTCGGTTGTGTTGCCATTCTTGAGTAATATTCCAGAGAGCATTCTCCAACAGAATAATTTATGCTCCCATACGGGTGCTATCACCCAACTTGCTCTACGGAGTGTTGACTTGTTGCTTGGCCTAGGAAATTGCCCGATATTTCTTCCATCGAGATGACTGGACTATAAATCCATCATCATCAACAACCAGCTTGAACCATGCTGATTTGACTGTTGGAAATAGACTGCATGGAACTCCATCGCGTAAAATGACATATGGCACCTGTACGGTGCAATGCATGCGCGTTTACATGCTTGTATTCAGCATCGACGCAACTACAGCGGTTGTAAATGTACCACCGTTTCACATTTGAAATAGCTCTTCTCGCGCATACTTTAACCTGTGACCTGTGTTTAACCTGTGACCCCAAAACACTAATCAAATAGTAACTGTAACCTAGACAAATATTTTGCCTACATTTTATTCCTCTAAACTGATATCGTCTTCGTGTTGGATTTCATTTTCCGTCAGTGCATTTAGAAGACTTCGCTACTGGCAATGAAGTTGTTGTTAGGTTTATGAGCCAAGTTATACTTCTGATAGAGGACTTTTCGTTCAATGCTTAAGAAAGTTTGATACAATATTTTTTTATCTAATAGTGATGTAACGGAAGGATGTTAGATAGGTTTGGTTCACCGTATTTTGGAGACATCGCTATTGACGTTGAGGCTGTTATCACGTTGATAAACCAAATTAAAAAATAAATATCTTCTGAAAGAAACAAAAAGTTTTAATGCAGCTCTTTTGTAAATGTGACAGGAGTAATGGGAGTTAGTGGTTGAGTTGCCCGGAATCGACTCTCTTTGTTCTTTATTAATGAAAAATTCTGATCAGCATTCTGAAAACAAACTTGATAGAAAAAAGAAACGGGCTATTTGTGCTGCGTGTTAAAATCATCCCATAATTTTATATTTGCAATAATAAAAATATTTAATTACACAATAAAAGTAGGTCCGTTAGGATTTCCATCGAAAAATAAAGGCACGCTCATGTTTTTCGTTTTCAGTCACCTACAATTACGTTTACAAAGTCAAAATTTTTTTGCACTGATTCGCTTTTGTGTGTAGTCTTTTCGTAGTTTTAAAATTTCTTTTCAGTAAGAAGATTTGTATTTTAGAAAGTCATGATTCTTTTCTATTGACAGATATAGCTCTAGTACGTTTGGCCGTATTCAAATAATCCAATTCAACCCAATTAGTGGCTATTCATTTGACATTTCTAATAGAGTGTAAAAAAAAATCTAGTCTAAAACGTGACAGACAAAATTAATGCCATACAAGTAAAAGGCCTATCAGTTTGGAAATCAAATATTGAAATTAAAGATAATGAAAAGATTACGACTATTGTTTCTTTAAATTCATGTACAGTCTTAGAATCACTGTTTTAGATGAACTATTTATTGTGAAATAATTTTATGCTCACTTTTATTGAAAATATTTAATAGTACTTAAATATTCAAATTAAATTTTGTAGTAAATAAAATCTTCTGTATTGTAGATGAAGCGATTAATAACACACTGTTTATATTTGTGTGAAATATATTAGAAAGCAGATCTTGCAGCCTCAGGAATAACTGTATCATATTCGGTGTAACACTAAAACATCAACTTTAATATTTAATGCCCGCAACTACAATTTATGATTAGGAATAAGCAAAAATTACTGACACAAATTAATTATGAAAGCTTATTTTCGAGAAATCTGAACATTTTTCACTTTATTACGTTTTTTTATTCTAATTTTAGTGCGTATTTTAATGTGTGAAAACATACATTTCTATTTTGTAACTTCAAAAACTTTTCAAAAGACTCATTTTTGTTATAGCATTGCCTAATATTGTTAAAAAAAGGGTATTAACTTTTAAATAAATGAGGAGTTTGGACTTTATAACGTTTCAGTACGTTAACTGTTTCAGAAAAAAAGGTGAAACGGAATTAAGCTTAAAACTATCAATAGATGGCAGCACTATATGTTTGCATCCGAAGATTAATCTAGCACGAAATTAAAATTCTTCAATTTATAAAAATATAACAACTATTAATGAAAACAAAAGGAAATGAAGAATAAAAAATAAAAAAGAAGCAGATTTAATCAGCCAGGAGGTTCTTCTGTATAACAGATTTGAATGAAAATATATCAAAATTGATAAGAAAAGCATCTTTATTGTAAATAGACGGCAGGTTGTGACGCTACTTTTATTCGTATGCATTAATGCATCATGTTTTAGAATTATTGATAATTATATACTTTAAAATAAACAAAGTAAAAGAACATCTGAAAGATTTCAGATTTTAAATTACGTCCGAAGGGGCGTTTTAACATTTTGTGTTACCTTTATTCATTAAATATCATGTTATTCGCTCTTAAGCTATAAAATTCAGTTCAAGAGCAATATCACAAAATAATTTTAAATTGAGCATATCCCCCCTTTAGAATTTCCAATATACAGTCTCACAGGCTGGAGATAAAATTTTTTTTTCTATACAACACTGCCATTGCCTGCTTTGAAATCCTTAAAAAACCGTTAAAGTTTTACAAAATATGAAACTGATAATAAAACAAATTCCCAATTTCAAATTTGGGCTCTCATATGCCCATATTCGCAGTAGGATTACGTCATTCAAAATTTGATGGCTCTAGGTACCGTCATTTTATCACAATGCGAGAAACATACATACATTTATGCAGAATCTTTATTATTTAACTTCTTCAAATATTATACAGGACGATAATATTTGGTGGCAGCAGTTTGAAAAGTGAAACGGACATTCAGAGTGATTCGACGCAAAATCGCAGAACGAAAACAATAGCCCCTCTTTGGACTAATAATGAAATGAAATAAAACTGGAAATTTTTTCACCTATCGTTAAAACTGTGTGATACATTATGATTAAAATCTTTTATGATTTAGTCAAGATAATATTTTTTAAAAATATGAGTAGATTGACACCTAGTAAAAAAAATCTCAATAAAAAGGTTTAACGACTAAAAAAAAAATGTTTTTAAATTTAAAAACCATGGTCTGCTTATTTTATTGTCGTAATCTTGTTTTCTAATTTTAAAATGTTATTTCTGTTTTTCTGCACTCATGCTTTATACTTAAACTGCTTTTAATATTAGCTACCAGCATGTTATTTTAATTGTCACTTGATGACTTTCCGAATCTCACAGATTCTTAGTTTCTTAGTTTCGAAGTGTCTCAGTGGGTATCTTAACAGAAATTTTGTGTTCTAAAATTCTAATTTTATCATATGTTTCCTATGAAAAGTTTCATGAAATTGTTTTTATTGTTCTAAAGGGACTTGGATGTGTCTCCGTCACCAGAAAATGGAGATTGCGACGCATCTCCTAAATGGACCGAAAAAACATGTTTCTCCGAAGCTTTTACCGATCCCGTCGAAGAAGTGGTGAGTGACAAATTTGTTAGATTTTAATAGATCTAGATTTAAGTCTTATATATACAACTTATTCCAAAATAATAATTGCGGTTGTACTTTTTGAAACGCTTGTGATAGAACAGTAATTCATACTGAATTTATTTTCTAAGTTCTTGTGACTAGAAATAATATTATTCCTTAAAAAAATACAATGGGTATAGAATTTAAAAGGCAACAAATGACTTTATATGCATAATGAGGAAAATTAGATGAAAAATCTACGAAAATGCTTGTGTGAATTACATAAAGCACAGAAACTGTAATTATAAAATTCATAAAGACAATGCGTTTTTAAAGATATTTACTGAAAAATAAAAAGGTGACGCTGACGTAAAAATTTTATAAATCACTGACAAAATATTAATTGAATAATGACCAGTTGATTTGAAAATTTTTATAAAGTCTTGCGAGAATAAATAGTAAATGAATAGTTTCTTACTGTGTCGTTGTATATTGCAAGGTTGTAAGGTTTTTATGTTTATTAATCCAATTGTCTTATTAATGTAGCTGTATACTTTACTTCTTCACTTCGACCCTCAGCAGAATGCAAGTAAATTAAAGTATAAATAAGCGCAGAGTGTCCTGGATTCTTGGGAGAGCTTTTGGCAAAGCAGGCTGACCGTCATTGCTATGCTTCCCACTGGTCTAATTTAATTGATGGGCTTAAACAATAGCTCCTTTGGGCTTTGTTTAAGCCCATCAATGACTTTGTTTAAGCCTTAATCTTTGGCAAGCAGCTTTTGCTTCGCACATGAATTCTGTGTCAAGATATAATAGGGTTTGTTAATTTGTATTTCCCATTCAGTTTGACTTGAGCGTTTGTTCTGAATTACCAGCAGAATTCTTTTTCTCCATATTCTTGTGACTAGAAATAATGTTATTCCTTTAAAAAATGTAATGAATATGGGATTTAAAAGGCACTAACAACTTTATATGCATAATCAGAAAAATTAAATGACCTGACAGATCTACATAAATGCTTGTATTTCTGTCATATTTTTCAAGTTTGTGTTTCTGTCATATTTTAGGTTTTGCAAAATCGTCAGGTTGACTCGTTTATAAATAAGTTTTGTTTTAATTCTTTACTTTCAGCCGTGGTTGCTGTAGTCTGGTGGTAGAATGAGGCGAAAAATAAAAGACTGCTTCATAGTAGTTGGTGTATTTGATTATGGCAAAGCACACTAGGGCTATCTGCCTAAGGGGAGGGATGCCTTCGTGGAGGACTTTCTAAGGGAAACTGGCTCGTATACACGTTACACATGGGGAAAACCACGAAAACGCCCATGCAGCCAGCCCGTTTGCGGTATTCAAACCTCGGACCGATCTACCAGTGTTCAGCGACTTTACCGCTCGGCCGCTGGTGGGCCGCTTCATGGTAGGTTTAATAGTTTAAAAGTACTGAAGAATAATATAAGATAATCTATATTTTATTTTTCATTTTTATGCTGTTTTTTGTAGAATATTGTTTATATTTGGCTTGCAAAACAAAATGTGATCAGTCGTAATCGAAACTCAGCAAAATTATATTCTGCAGTTTGATACCTACCCAAAAAGATGGCAAATTCTCATAAGCACCAATAAAACCCAAACAATAATGTTTCGACGTGGAAAATCCCGATCGAGAAATCAGCTGCACAGATGAAGCGCATGCCAGATATGGAGACATATTTTATGAAATAATTATAAAGCTCAAGTGTTGCAAAATAAAAACTCGCAGAGAAATATCGGATATTTGTTGGTACATTTCATATAAGCATACTTTTTGTATTCTCATCCTCAACAAGAAAAAATTTCGCTTTGAGTTTTCTCATGTTTCTTTTCGAAAAGGACTTGCAGTTCTGTACTAATTCGATATGAAAAATTACTTGTACTAATTGGATATGAAAAAGGTGGGCAACAGAGGAGGGGGGTTTAGTTGCCCTCTTCTTCTGTTGCCCACCAGTGGCCGAGCGTTCAAGTCGCTGAATACTATTAATTCCGACCTGGGTTCGATTCCAGGACAATAGGCTGGCTTCATTGGCGTTTTCGCGATTTTCCCCGTGCGTAACGTATATACAAGCCAGTTTCTCTCAGAAAGTCCTCCACGAAGATATCCATCCGCTTAGTCAGGTATCCCATGCGTGCTTTGCCGTAAATGAATAAACCAATCCTCAGTTTTTTGTCTTTGTTTATGCACAAACGCATTTTCTGTATCTATACGTCACAAAACAGGAAGTAAAACAAGTTTAGTACTGCGTTTAACATATTTGATTTTGTGGGACCATATCTATTTTCGGTTCGCAATGCACACATTTAAGCATGCAAAGCACAGACCGCTTTTGTTATGTCAGACATTTCTTAGACATTGTCAGGCCTTTACGCGCGTTCGTTATATGAGGCACTGATCTATCGTAATTTCTAATTGTGAAGTAATTCAATATATCTGTTTTAAAAAATTTTTAAATTATCTTAAAAATTATGAAATTGATTTTAAGCTGCTCTTTAATTAATTGCTCTTTTTAACATGACAGATTCGAACAGATTTCTGTATCATCTGCGATTGCTGTACTTTGTACAAGTTTGAAGACATGTCATGCAGAAAGCGAAAGATAGTATTCAAAATCATAGAAAACAAAAATAGTACCGATTTACGTTTTTTGAAATCTAGAGAGACATTTTGATATCATTCGCCAGTACTTTCCTTTAAAAAATTAGTTTGTTATCTTGGAACAGAATAATGTCTAAAATTATCAAGCGTCGGAAGAAAGATACAAAAAATTGCCACAAATATTTCCTAACCAGCTTGAAGTGGTTCTAACTGCCGAAGAACTTAACGGTCTATTTCAGTGCATTCAGTTTCTGCAAGTTCGCTTAGCACAGCGATAAAGTAGGAATGTTTCTGATTGCATCGAGAAAATAGGAAAGCTGAAAATGTTCAATAGTTCCACTTGAATGGAATCGTGAACCCGAAACAGCTTCCTCGTAAATACCGTGAGGCTCATTCGAAATGTTAACAATGTTCATCTGGATAACTTAACCACCACCACTACTACTACTACTACTAATAATAATAAAAAAGTCTGAAAGCTTTTTTAGATTTTATACTACGCCTGACGGGTTTTTCTTTTCTTTTTTTTTTTTTTTTTTTTTTTTTTTTTTTACGTTTTGTGTATTACCCCTTTATTTATTAAATATCATGTTCTTCGCAATTGTAAAAAAAAAAAAAAAAAAAAAAAAAAAAAAAAAAAAAAGAAGTTCAACACCAATATCACAAAATATTTAAAAAGAGCATACTTTTAGAATTTCGGATATATAGTCTCGCTCGCTGAGGATAACTTTTTTTTCCGGTACAGTGTTGCCATTTGAAATCGTTGAGTTTGTTAATCAAAAATTCGTTAAAGTTTTACAAAATATAAAGCAGATAAAAAAACAAATTCTAAATTCCAAATTTCGGCTTCCAAATGCCCATATTTGAGTGGAGGACTATGCTATTCAAAATTTGATGTCTTTAGGTACCGTTGTTTTTTCACAATGCGAGAAACATACATACAGTCATGCAGATTCTTTATTATTAAATTTCTTTAAATATAATGCAGGGCTCTAATATTTGGTGGCAACAATTTGAAAAGAGAAACGCAGTTTTATAGTGGACGACGCTAAATGCCAAAACAAAAGTAATAGCTCTAATTAATAATGAGCAAATTGTCCCTTTAAGCCTAAAAAGAAGCTCTAATGTTCAGAATTTGACTTTCAACGCTCATTGTGTTTCTGTCTAAAGAGTTGAGATTATAATTGCAAAGATTAAAGAGTTTATGGTTGCACAATGGCAATAGTTCAGGAAGTACAATGGAAGTGCCTTTTCTTCATTTTTTCCTTCAAATGGCCTGGCATTTGCTCGAAAGCATTCATCGAGAATGACGGAATCCATCAGCCGAGCTGTTTCATCACCAAGAACGTCGCTGAGATAGCGTCACAGGGTGTAGACCAGTATTACACCTAATGGTAAGATGACAAGATTCTGGTCATCCGCGCCTTCAACCTGAATGACTCATCATCGCCCACTCAGCGGCATTACTGAACTCACAGGAGAGGAAGAAAAACACTCTTCCACTGAATTACCCAAGTAAGTCAAAACGAACGATGATAGGTGACAATGCTTTTCAGTACTCTAATATTATTTAAATCTGAATTAGTCTGAATAGTTCACTATTAATCTCAACTAATCAATGTGCCATTATTATGAAAGAACTGAGGGATAAAGTGTTACATGATCATTGATTTCGTAAAAATAAAGTAGTTATGGACTTTAAGATAGCTGCTGATGAATGAACAGCCAAGTTTACGTCTGAAAATGCGACCATTTGCTCGCTATATTTTAAAGATAATTATTGTCGAAGGGCTCTGCGAAGCGAGCTTTTGGGAATATCTCTTTGTCAAAATTTTAAAAGAAAAAGTCTATCAGGTTCAGTGTTCCGCCTTACTTGCTTGGGGAACATTCAAGAACCTGACTCGGAACAGGGAGCTTACTAAAGCTGTGTTCAATAAATGTGGGAAGTAGACAAAATACACAGGAAGGGTATACGAAACCCTTTATTTTTTCACTATTTACAATGATTTCCGTACTTCGGAATACAGAGACCAACCACTTGTGGTCTGAACGTAAGAATATAAAAATATTAACTAAACTCTAACTTAACTTTGGAGTAACAAACAAGGGCCTACGTGGAAGATTGGCCGTATATTAACAGGGAGCCGTATGTAGTACAGAGAACTGTTAACACTACAATACGTTTAAAATTATTAAGAGGATTAAACCTCTGGTCTGGAAGGCAACCAGCAACCGAGTAAAACTGCTAAGGCAAGCGGCCTGCTTCTACTAACTCTAATTCTGGCCGGAAGTAGAAAATAAGAAGTGATAGTAAAGATTTAAAATAAAATAAACGTTAGTAAAACTTAAGATCCTTACAAGTCTATATATGAATTTGTTAGGT